AACGGACTGCACAGCCTGTTGTCCTTTTCAGGTCAGTTGTTGGCCGTGACTTCACTGGTAAGCAGGATGACGAAACAAAACTGTCGCCTGCAAATCAGTCGGGGTCGCGCGAGGTTGCAGCAACTGGACGCGAACGTGCAAAATGCCACACTGTGCTGTTTTTTACTCGTGCCTGAGCATTAGGTGATCTTCCATTCAGAACTAAATAAAAACAAGTAATACGGGTTGGGACGCCGTGTAGTTTGGAGACAACCCAACGCGTCGGAGGTACATTTCACCTTCCCGTCTGCTTCTTCTGCTTATATTTTACTTGACTTACACCTCGATCCTGAAGATGAAAGCGATATATTCCTTCGAAATGTCGAACTTCCTCGAAGTACAACCCAGAAAACGTTATTTTCATATTCACCTCTACGTGGAAGCGTAATTGGTTGAGGCACTATGCTACAAGCCTGAAGGTTGTGGGTTCAAGTCCTGATGAGGTCATTGGATTTTTCAATTGACCTAATCCTTCTAGCCGCACTATGGCCCTGGAGTCGACTCAGCCTCTAACAGAAATGAGTATCAAGAATCTTCCTGTGGTGAGCGCGTAAGACTGACCTCACCGCCATCTGTGAGCCGATTGTCTACAAAATGTGGGAGCCTCGACTTCTCACAACCCTATGGGCCTCCACAGCCTGTTATAGAGATGGCTTTACCCTTACTCCCCCTTTTTTACCGCTGTGGAAAAGTCAAACCCAACACAGATAACACTGGTCGTTTCTCGGAACAATTTCGTATACGCTTGAGGTCCCTTTATCAGGCTTATCTTGTTGAGATTACATTCTGACATTTACTTCCCGAAGCAGAGATAACAGCTATATGATCTGCATGATTAGCAAGCAGTAATCAGGCCGTGCCATAGCTGAGTCCTTTAGTCGCCAGCTTCCCACCGCGGCGGCCCGGGTTAGAGTCCAGGTTATGTGATATTTGTGGTGGACAAAGTGGCAGTGCGGCAGGTCTTCTCCAAGTATCGGTTTCCCCTGCCAATTCTCATTCTACCGACTGCTCCACATTCATTACCAGTTAGTGGTTCACGTGCAAGTGGACTGTGAGCCGTAGGTCTGTTTGGAACTCTTGTTTCTTATTCAGTTATTAAATGCCATCTTCGGTTACCGACTGAGTTACCGGCCCCGGCAGTACGGCCTCAACGTACTCATTGCTCTTGCTTTAATCACTGCATAAATGAGCAACCGTGCTGCTAGTGCCCAAAGCAAGGGAAGGATAGCACTTCCAGTTTTCTATAGCAGAAAATAAAATAGCAGCGCGCAGAAGACGCGAAATTGGATCTTGAAAGAGGGGCCTAACAAATATCTAAGCTCTAGAGATAAACTGAGGAACCGGGATAGCTCAGTCGGTATAGCGACTGGCTAGGGGTGGACGACCGAGGGGTCGGAGTTCGAGTCCTGGTAGGGTCAAGAATTTTCTCTTCTTCACGTCGCCCAGACCGGCTCTGGGGTCCACCAACCCTCCTATCCAATGGGTAAGGGGTTAAAATGGCAGGGACGTGAAGCTGACCGCTCACCTTCAACTAATGCCGAGGTCAAGAAAGTGTGGATCTCCACATCCACTCCCCCATACGCCTTCATGGCATAGTGCTGAATTAGTTAAGCACAGGAACAACTTCACCTTACTTATAGATGAAGTAAAGAAAAGTTTTGCCTGTGCATAATTAATTAATTCCTGTCACGAAGGCTCATGGGAGAGCGGAGGTATAGCTCCACCATTCTTGATTTTGGTACGAGAGGGACGTAAATTGTAAGCTTCACGCCCCGCTGCTTTACCCACCCCCCACCCGGATAGAGACCCCGTTACCCACTGGATATGAGGCTGGGTGGGCCCCAGAGCCGGTCCTATTACCGACACTATTTTGTTGTAGTCTTCTATTGCTTTTCATAGAAGGGAGATCAATCTCTTGTTTCGGAATACAGCGGCAAAATGGAGGAGGAAGAATTGTGGAGAGTTTTCGTCTAATGAATATAGAACAAAGGGGGTAAAACCTTGTTTTTTGGAGGTACCCAGATCCAATCCCGGCTGGGACACGAGCTATCCTGAGTTATTTTGTCATCTTCCTCAGTTCCTCAACGCAAATTACGGGATATAACAGTGAAATATCCCACTAGCACTTCCATTTACATAGTTTCCAGTTCGCCATTCGAGGTTATATTATGAGCTGCTGAAAGTGTCGTTAAATGAACTATAAATAGATAAACAGACACAGGAGACAGGACATAAAGTGGTTTCGTTAACAGTTTTATTAAAATTTAATTAGAGATTGTTAACATGGAGTGTTTAAGATGAGTTGATATCTACATTACTATTACATGAATAGACACATTAGAAGTAATAGATTCAGTACCGGCTCAATAGCAGAATATCGTGTATACGGTAATAATCTTCCGTATCCTGGGAATTTCTTGACTGAGAGACTATTAGCTTCTTACGAAAGATTCTGCTCCACAGAGTAACATTAGTATTGTCACGTGTTGGGTACGTCACGCGACAAATAACTTCACTTGGGTCTCGGATTTAGCGGATCTTTATTGGAGACTCACTCTTACACCCCTCCCTAGTGGTATTTCCGCCCTACTTTCGTTCTGATGTTCGATTCTTCCATCCTCCCAGCCTTCTTCCAGAGTGCTCGTCACGAGCAATTCCGTGGTCCAGCGGTTGTTGGTTCCGTCGTCTCACAGTCATTCGTCACTTTCATTCTTTCCTCATTCATCCTTCCTGGGAAGGCCGGTGCTTCTACATTACCGGTTCCTCCCATACGGGCCGTTTCCTTTCTTCCGTTTTGGAGACGGTCAATACCTCCACAGTGTCCAATTTTTGACGTTCGTATTTGTTGCAATTCCGCGCAGCACGTCTGCTGGTGCACTTGTACATGCCTCGAATTGCTTTCTCAGTCGCCTTATTGTCTCTCTCTCAAACTTGAGTCGTTCTACTTCTTTTCTTTCATGACGAATGCTTCTGTCCTCCTCCCGCGTTCAAGTTCTTCTTGTCTCCTTTTCGACGCGCCCTTATGTGGACTTGTGCGTGACTCCGACAGTTGAGATGTCGCATTGGAGTATTGGGCCAGAAGTCAGGTGATACTACAAGTCATAACAACTGTAAGGTGTGAAGTGTGAGTGTCCAATAAAGATTCGCTAAATCCGAGACCCACGTGAAGTTATTTGTCGCGTGACATATAGAAAGTGTCACGTAACTTCGAACAAGGCCAAGTGTAACCTTGAATGCGCAGAAGAAAAATGTCAAACAAGGGGCTGAAGGGTGTGAGAAGTGACAGGCGGGCAGTGGAAGAACGAGAAGAAACTCCTCCCACCACAAGCTATGCGCGGGATTTGACTAGGAATGCGGGGCCTTGTTCGAAGTTACGTGACACTGTCTATACCCAACACATGACAGTATTATTAGTTATAGAAGTAGTAGTAATAGTAGTAGTCTGTTTAATGCAACATCTTATATAAAATATGACAGTCCCCTAATAATAAAAAATAGACATGCCAGGAATCTTTAAAATTGTGAAGCTGAAAACAGTAAAGATGCTTGCTTACACGAAACCATGGAAAAATTCCAGTAGACACGTTAGTCTAAGAAGAATCCAGTTAGGTCCGATTATACAAGTCCCGTCAAACCCCGGACCCATTTCCCACACGTTTCTGTTTAATTTTGAAAAGTATTACTTTTCATATTCCGTCGAAAACTAATTCATCGATTGGTTTGTCGCTCGTGATATTACACAATTTCACTGAAGTGGCAGTGAGATTTGTTTTCGAAGCAAAGAAGGTTCACACTATGGTCCTCTTAGCTGCCGCAGCATGAAGTCTGACAGATTGGCACCAACGATACAAGGTTTCATAAACCATGAGACTCAATTAAAATCTCCTCTTACTTCCCCGATCATATGCTCCGGTCCGTAATATCTAATTATGGGATTGGCACGGAGGAATATATTGTGGAGTGACGCCTAAAAGCTGGATATGAAGAGAAAGCATACTTCAGTGGCAACGAAAAGATAGGCAGACCGCTACCTAGGAAGCCGGATATGACGTACAGTGCTACGCAACGGCTAAAATAAGAACGCATACTTAAGTGACGAGGGCCGCGCCATAGCTCAAGCGGTTAGTCGCTGGCTTTCCACCGCGGCGGCCCGGGTTCGATCCCGGGTCTGGTAAAGTGGGATTTGTGGTGGACAGAGTGGCGCTGGGGCAGGTTTTCTCCGAGTACTTCGGTTTCCACTGCCAATCTTCATTCCACCAATTGCGCCACAACCACCCTCACCTATCATCTGGGGTTGGTACAATAGGCCAAAAGTGTCCTCAGTACAAGGGACTTAGTCCCACCCCACTAGCAATAAAAGAAAAAATAAGTGACAACGAAAACATAGGCAGACCGCTACCTAGGAAGCCGGATATGACATACAGTGCTACGCAACAGCTAAAATAACGCATACTTAAGTGACAACGAAAACAGAGGCCAGTTAACGGAGACCGAACTGTTGAGTTCCTGCAGCATGGGATACGCCAGCCAACGCTGCGTCGAAGACAGCGAGAGAACCATGGACAAGGTGTTCTCTCGGCAGTACGCGAAAAGGGTAGATTGCTACAGATAAGAGCAGACCAGAGCGGAGATCAGATCAGCGATCAGAGAGAGAAGCAAGAGGACAACCGATAGAATCTTTCGTATGGCGTAGTTACAAGGAATATTAAAGTGTGATAATTGTTCGCAGTTACGAAGTGTTATAATTATCGCGTGTCATAATTGTCTATAGTTCAGCCTGGCGTAATTCTCCAATAAAAGAGCTTCGTCTAAAGCCGCAACCCAGTAATTATTTGTCACGGATACCCGGACACATGATAATATGTATTTGACATGCTTGACGCACATGAAGGAATCGCGTAATTTGGCCTAGAAGAATTTATGTATTTGACTGACCTGATACAAAAGGATAAAGTATGGAATTGGCACAGAAGAATAGATATATTTGATAGGCCTGACATCCAAAAATTATTGGATTTGCTCAGAAGAATGTGTATGTGTATGTCTTTCACAGGCCTCATTCAAAAGTAGACATTATGGGGCTGCTCCAGAATATTCACATTTCACAGTCCTGATACACGGGCAGAAACTTGTGGGATTGTCCCGGAAAATTCCGTGTTTGGCCTCATAAACCCGCAAATTATGTGACTGACCCTGAAGAACCTGCATGTATTACACCCAATATAGACACTCAAAAAAATGTTCACTGATAATTCTTTGGCTTATAATTATCCGGATTTGTTCTCTGTCATTTTTCAATCTTCGATATAGTCACTGTTAAATTAAGTTTTCCATCCTCAACGAAATTCCGAATAACTTTATCATCAAGGACGAGACATTTCGCAGACTGAAAACTGTCAGAAAAATCTTCTGTGAAACTTCTGACTACAAACGTTTCAATGATTTTATCAACGCCGTTGGCCCCAAAGAGTGTAAACTGACTTTTGTATTTTGCAGCTTCTTCCTTTGTGCCCACCAGCTGGACCACACAGAACCACTGTCCTCCTTTCATGCTTTTGTAGCATAAAAACGTCTCATTCAAGACAAACCTCACTGCTTCTGCGTTCCCAATATTATGTGACCTAATAGATGGCGTATCTTTGTAGTAGTCCCCATGCGACTCTGCGACATGCCCCTTGAACTCTGACATCAGCCCCTTCCAGGAACACTTGATGGATGGGAATTTGTTCATCGGACACTTCATGGGGCCGTATCGACACACGGCCTGGTGATCGGCGATCAGATCCATAGAGAACGCTTGAGAGCAGCCTTTATCCCTGTTGGTACATGGATACATTTGTCTCCTGGCTATCCTCTCCAGGGTGATATTACGGATACCCGAGAGCCGTCCCCTGCAGATTGGGCAGCACTCAATATTGAGTCTGCATTTCATGCAGACGTTGTGTCCGTTGTAACAGAGTGTTATTGGTGGAATCATGTATTCTGTGCAGACAGGACACTCCAGGTCACTCAGAAGCGCATGATCGAAATCACGGACCAGAGTGTCCATTTCCTGATTAGGCTCTGAAATGTCTGTGTGTAGAGGCTGATGGCAGTGCGGTTGGCTCCCTGAGTGTACGGGTTCCCTTGCTGAAACATAAGATAGATGGAAAATGAAATTCAGATTAAAAATAGACGCTTAGCGAAATGTCATATTTCAGTACTGAAGAAGAAAGAAGGAAAAAGGGAGGGAGAAAGAAAGGCAGAAAGGAAAGAGTTGGGGGTGCAAACAGGAGAAAATGGAAAGAAAGGGATATGGAGGGACAAATAAAGAAAGGAACGAGGGAGGGAATGAGGATAAATAAAGAAAAATATGAAACGGGATGCGAGGAGTATATAAATGAATGACGAAGCTGTCTTGGTTATTTTGAGACTGTCAGTATCAAGATTCTATAGCCTCAAGTGATAGGCTAATAAATAACGGATGAGTTGGGAGGGATGTGGAAGGAAGTGGTCGTGGTCTACTCGAGGTTCTATCCCAGCATTTACTTGTGGGGACTGAGGAATAGCTAATGTCCCGTCAGAGGTTCGAGCCGAGCACATCCCCAGTAAACGCTGGAGCGTTACCGCGAGACTGAGCCGATCGTTGTGACTGAGGGTGGAAGGAAATAAAGAAAATGGCAGGGTGGGAGAGAGAAGGAACTGTAAGAAGAAAGCCAGACGAAGAGGAGTATAGACAGAAATTTACAGGCATATGGGAATAGTTTTTTTTTGCCTACTCTCCTAAAGGCTTATGCGATCTTCATGCTGTCTGTATGTCTGTGAATCCCCCCCCCATATTAACTTTTGAACGCCTGAACCAGTCTTTATGACAATATGTATATCATGGTACCTGAGCCCATCTCAGCGGCGTAGTTCATAAATCCTTCCCATCAGTCATTCTGTGTCTCTATATGTGTATCACTTCTATCGTTGATACGCAACGGCTCGGTAAAATGTATTCCTCAACACGTTGCTAGGCAACGGCTCGGTAAACACGTTCCCGTGGTAACGAATACATGAAACAATAGAAGAATTATTGGACGCGTCATAATCTGTGCGGTCCGTGTCTTATCAAAGGAGGGTCTGTTGGTCTTTGTGTGTATCCCCCCCATTGTCGCTAGGTAACAACTGGGTAAAGACGTTCCCGCTGCAACGAATAATTGCTGAAGGAGTTGTTTTATATGAGTCGTAGCAGAGGAAAATCCACTTGATACGTCGGATGATGATGAGTGTGGAGCAGTCGGTGGAATGAGAAATGGCAGGGGAAACCGGAGTGCTGAAAAGAAATGTGTCCTAGCCAGTACCACCTTATCGATTGCAAATCTTATATGACCTGGGATCAGATCCCGGTCGCTATGGTGGGAAGCCGGCGACTAACCGCCTGAAGTATGGTATGGCCCCAGTATGTAGTTACACACACAGATGGGGCTGCAGTCACCTCTAGAAGCCAAAGTGTACCGAACGGACTGCAGACAAATGTTAGACCCACGTGACCGAAAGACACTTACTTCTTCATATGCAGATCTTGTACGCGTTCATCACGGGAATGTTAAAACAGCAACCAGATCTCCAATGACTGAAGCTCAAGGTCTGTCTCAGTAGAAATGCCATGAGAACGCTTTCTGATCGACTCAAATATCGCACTGTGCATATCAATTCTGGTCGGTCACGGTAGCCGAGCGGTTTAAGGCGTGTATTGTCTTCGCTCGCTCGGAAGCCGACATCGTGGGTTCGAATCCCACACAAGGCATGGATCGGCATGTGTAAGGTGTTTATTCTGTGTTGATGGTGTTCTATGTTTAGATAAAAGCCTTGCGACAAGCTGATCACTCATCCAAGGAGTCCTACCTCTGCAAAATGATCAAAATGAAAAAGAAACAACCTCGACACCGTAGGGTAAGTAAACACGTCAATTCTGGGCAGTTCTGACTGTGGTCCGAATGTACTGGGCTTCTAGACTTTGCCCATCGTTTAGTATTCCGAACAGAACACACCATTTCGAAGCTGGATTTGTTTCCCTCCTCAGGTGAAAATATTGGCAGAAATCTACCGAGTTGGGTCCGTTAGAGACATTCACTGAATGCTGGTCCAGCATTTTGGATCCTGGGACCAGAGATCTGCTTGCTGTCTACTGCTTCGCATTCGCTTGATTGGTTTACTTTTCCACCCTGAAGATAGAAGCAGTACCGTCCTCCGAAATTCTGTAAATTTCCACCAGACTATACGGTGTCACATCCCAGAGAATATCACGTGCTCTTACGCTTCAAATGGTAACAATAGGAGCATGAAATTTTATATCTAGGGATAACGTTCGTGAGCTTATATGAAGTTGTGTTCTTGGCAGTGTGTTTTGTTTTAACTACTGAAGGGTCTGTATGTGTGTGTGTGTGTGTGTGTGTGTGACGTCACAGCAAATGTTACCTATTCACCTTGCCTGAATGTCATTAATTATCCTTACGTCAACATATCCTGCAAACAACAAATAAACATTACAAGCATTAAGAGTACCAGTTTTTGGGTTGTAACGCCATGTAGTTCGGAAAGAGCTCAACTTTTCGAAGGAAAGTACTGCGTCCATTTTCATGGTCCAAGAGTATGATAAGCACAAGACCAGCACAAACAGACGGCAACCTGGTTTCTTGTTTGATTTACTCCTTCGCCCTGAAGATGTATGCGATATGTTTAGGCAGCAGACACACTTGCGCATGTTCAAAGGCTCGTTTCAGCAGTCGAAATGGGGACCATACTACCGAAGAGCAGCGTTCTGTTGTGCGCTTTTTGTGAGCAAAAGGACTCAATGCAAAGGATATTCATAAAGAAATGTTCCCTGTTTACAGTGGGAAGTGTTTGTCGCGTAAAGCGGTTCACAGCTGGGTGGTAAACGTTTCGCTGATGGAAGAGGCCGAAACGGAGGAGCGGAAGTGGCTGAGACAACAGTCAAAAAGACTCCATGCTGCGGGTTTCGAAGCACTGGTAAAGCGATGGGACAAGTGTAGCAATGTTCGTGGAGGATATGTCGAGAAATAAATGTTTTTTCCCTAGGTTCGAATATTACGTTTTACGTTGTATATCCATTTATGACCTATTTACTGACTCTCCCTCGTGTATATTCGATAGATACAGCAGTCACATCTTGAGTCTGGCTGTTACCGAAATTCCTCGTAAAGATGAGGCTGTAACTGCTTTACAACAGCACGCATCAATGCAGCCTCTAGCTGTCACGTTTTCGAACCTACGTGGCATCACCGATCGCACTGAAGCTGGGACAGAAACACGGAAAGCGACTACCGACAGAATATATTCTGGCATGTACTACCGTTGCTACGCAACGATGGCGAGAAAGAAAATGCGTTACTTGGTAAGGGCCGGTAAACACGTTCCCGCGGAAACGAGACATACACAACAATACAGTTAAAATGGAAACGGGGGTCTTTTCTGTTGGGTCCGCCCCGGGGCTATATAGCGAGGACCCCAGGCCGGTTGAATGCAGTTCAGTAGTGTAGAGTGAATTGTAGTTGGTTGGTGAGAGTGAGTTCAGTTGGCAGTTGAGTCGAGTTCTGCAAGGGAGCCTGCAAAAAGATGGCGCTATAATTGACTTGACAGTTTATAAGAGTTTTGCACTGGATGCTGTGACAAGGTACCTGAGAGCGGGGAGCCGAAGAAACTTCACTGTTATAAGCCGTATCTAGGTAACGGCTGGTGAAAATGAGGCTGGAAAAAACCTAGCGGGTGCTCTGGTGATCTGTAAATTGTAGAGATTATCGATAACGCTGTAATTATTTGTAGTTCCGAGTGGTGTACATAAGTCGTCAATAAATCCAATATCCAGTCCACACCCCGTCTATAATCACACTCATAAAACCATACCCGCTGACACGCCTACATACCTACCCACCAATGTGAAGTATTAAATATAAAGGGTAAGCAATAAAGTGGAGGTGACCAATTTTAAAGAACTTCCCCTGCTTGAAAGCCCCAGAAAATATCGAACAATTTCAGAATAACCGTTCTGCAGTTCGATGTTCGAACCCTGGGCCTCGCGGACAGTGTTAACCGCTAACTCACGGCGGGCAGACAGGATCTCTCTGCAGTTTTCATGAAGCAGCAATACTGGGGCTGACGTAAATAGCTTCCCACGGTTTATTGCCAGTTTGAACAACTGAATAACGTTATTTAGCTATCTGTGTCATTGCCGTTTCTTCTTCCATCACATCACGTACGGTAATGGGCCTAATTATACGACTGACCACGCAGAAAACAGCCTATATTGTTGGAAGCTGTTTATCGAGCGATCGCACAGCAACGGTCATGGCGCCGACCGCATAGAAGACGCTGCACCCCCATTGTTGCTTTGCGTATATTCGGTCTCGAGGTGTTTAACGGTCAGTTACCTAGCAACGCCGTGTCCATCCACGTTACAATGTAAACTCAGTTCGTACCTCACAGGAAACACACCACATCTCCGCTAACATGCCTAATCGGTTAATGCCATTTGGGGAAACAGTCGCTGTTTATTGTGAGAACCAGACGGAACACACATATATATAAGCTCAGTTCGTACCTCACAGAAAACACATTACGTCACCGCTACAAAACCCAACCTGTTAATGCTGTTCAGGGAAACAGTCGCTACTTATTGTGAGAACCATACGGAACACACACACACACATATATATATACACACACACACACACACACACTATCCCGGAGGAACTGAGGAAAATAACGAAAGAGTTCAGCCAAGATAATCGGTGACGCGGCCGAGATTTGAACCGGGGACCTTCCCGAATCCAAGTCAAAAGTGTTACCGCTTGAACTAACCTGCTCCATGTGGTGCATGAAATATCCATTAAATGAGACAATAGGTTACTACAGGTTAGCGTTTGTGGGTAAAGCATGGGATCAAAACTAGACGCTTATTTTTAGTTGGGGATCCGACTTGGGGTCAGATAGTATCGGTCGGGAGCCCCCGAAACTTGCGAGAGACATTCTACACTTCAGGAATTTCTGAACAGTTGCGAACAATTCGTATTTCACTGATCACACCTTGCAGACACACCGGAGACAGAATAAACTGAACAGGATAGTGTAGCGGGGATTGGGAGGTGATCTGTTCGAATCCCGGTCGAGATATCGACCATCCTAACTTTCTCGTGGTTTTACTAGTTCCTTCATACAAATGCTGAAATACAGTCTCCATTAAGTCACAAACACATCCTTCATAATCCTTTCCTGTTCACCAGTCATCCTGCTTGACGCTGTATAGCATGAGATGCTGACAGCATTGTCAAATAAGCATTCAGAAACACGCAGAAGATAATTATTAATGATTCATTAGGAACAGCTATTTCTAGAAAATGAAGTCAGGAAGTAATAACGCGCAAATTTCCAGTTTCTTCACAGTAAATGTTTTCACGTAACTTTGTGGTTAAATTAATGAAGAAAAGTTATCCGAGAACGCAAGTTTTTTTTTTGTACAAAATGGCTGAATCATGTTTGCATCGCAGATGTTTCACTAAAATACCGATCTGACGTAATACACACTCTCTCTCTTATTACGATTAACACAATCAAATAGAACTGAAATAACACAGGCACAGGAAAACTGTGCCACACGCTTACCGTGCAATTAGCCCTGTCTCCAGACTATCGAACTCCGTTAAACTGTGTTCCGAACAACACACTTCCATTCTAGTCAACAGCGAGCGCTGTTATCAGAAGGTTATGAAAACCAGTCTTGCCTTCCAAACAATATTCATGTTATTCTTAGTTTTATTTTACCTCGGCGCGACTTAACCAATGCCACTACACAGTACCGCCCCTTATTCACTGCTTAAATAGCAATTCGGTTGTATTATTCATGATAAAAACATTGCTGTCATTGCGGTAATGTATATACAAAACGATGCGGCATGCGTATGGTAGCTCAGTCGGTATAGCGACTGGCTACGGGCTGGAGGGGCGGGAGGATGGAGTTCTAGTTCCGGTAGGGTCAAGAATTATCTCTTCTCCACGTCGTCCAGACCGGCTGTGGGGTCCACTCCGCCTCCTTCCCTTTACCGGGGGTAAAGTAGCCGGGGCGTAAAGCTGACCACTCACATTCAATTAGTGCTGAGGTCAAGCACGGTGGAGATATACCTTCACTCCCCATACCCCTCCAATGCATGGTGATTCATTAGTTAAACATAGGGACAACTTTACCTGTTTACCATTATTGGTAACCACGGCCAAGGTTTATTCTGAATGTCTTACTGCAGGTGACGGACAGGGAGCTGCTATTTGTTTGACGTTGTGACGTCACAGCCAAGGGTCAGCAACCCATCTGAGGGTTTCTCTGCAGGAACTGAGACTGGAAGGTACCTTTATAGGATTCTGGGATTTGCGATAGAAAGTGAATTATCAAAGTGAGAGCGGGTGGTTGAAAAATCCGCCAGTTCTTTCGTGGCAATTCTGGTCCCGTTTCTGGTGCTACAGAACTCGAAGTTGCCTTTGCAAATGTATCAGGTTTACCTGAGAGGTTAGTACGATGGGAGGCGGCCTACCTGCCTGGCTGGATGGCTTCTGCTGTTGCTGACTGTCGGTGGTGCCGTCCGCGTCTTCTTCGTGGTCAGCCTGCCTTTCAGTTGGCCTCAGTGGGGTGGGAGCTTCATCCATCGACCGCAACTGGGGATCATTTTCTCCCGTTGTGGATATTGCTGGTTTCTTGGTTCTTTTGTCGGTGTCGTCTGTGCGTCCCCGCTTTCGTTTTCTTTGCTCATGGAATTCCTCTTCGGACGGAGGTGCAGTAATTGTTGACTTGAATGTTTCCCCTTTGGCAGTGCTCTCTTTGATAACTGCGTTCAACTTGTTTAGCACTCCTGTGTACATTTCATACAGGGCTATGTACAGCTGCTTTCCTTTTAGAGTCAGGTTGAATTTCTTCGTGGTGTCCGCCATGTTTTGGACGATTTTAGTCCATTTCGGACTTTCGGCGACGGACGCAGGGGTACTTTCCGCTAGGCAGTAAATGGAAATAAGTACCCCGCTTATATGACCCAGAGCAGCTTCGGCGTCAGGATGTTGTTGTATAATGTTCCCATATTCCAACATCAGAGATTGGAATTGGTTTAACCAGAACTTCTTAAATTCTAGGATGGGTACAGCAGCCATGGTATGAGATACTACTACAGCTATAACAGTTAACTATATATATATGTTACGTTTGAATTATATCCCCTTTATGTAGCCTCTGCAAGGACCCAAGAGAGAATACCACTTCCAACAGTTCCTCTATTGTTGCGTTCGTAACGCTAGTGACGTCATGTAATCTGCTAGCCGTGGAAACGTGTTTACAGAACAGTTTCCTAGCAAAGACCCTTTCTTCTGGTTCTACTATTGTAGCTGATAGAGTAGTTAGCATCACAAAAAAAAAGTATCAAAATGGTTGCTAGGATTCATAGGAAACCTGGACTCTTCACAAATGACTATGTAGAATTGCCAAAAAGTGAAACTAAATACACAAATGACATACTGTTATGAGAGCAGTAAATGACAGACCCGTCCTCTCGTCAGAGAAGGCGCCTCATATCGACAAAACTGTCATTGTGTAAGATTTGAGGCTTTCACGGCGGTGACTATGGAGAAAGCAGTCTTCTGGGATTTGGCACCGCGTATATGTGGTGTTAACCGACGTTTCGGAGGAACGTGGAGGCGATACGTTCCTCCGAAACGTCGGTTAACACCACATATACACGGTGCCAAATCCCAGAAGACTGCTTTCTTCAAAACTGGCATTGTCTGACAGTAATAAAAGTCTGGTTTTGGGCCTCCAGAAAGGGCTTGACACAAGGACTGACCGGCCGACTGACTGTCAGTCATAACGTGACTTTGACTGGACTTCAAGCAGTTGAGAAGGTGAAGAGACACGGCTTGAGTTAGATACGCGAGGGGCGCCAGCCAGCGAGGAGAGGGACGTTCAGCAACAGCGTTGGGAACCGTTACCAGGTAGCGCATAGTGAAGACAGAGGAGTTAGTGCGTGCCTTAGTGAACTGTAAAGAGTGGGAATGAGCGTAAGCACTATAATTAATTGTAATTACGGTTTGGCAGAGCCCAGTAAATGCAGGCACTTAACACGTGACAGTTCGGTTAATCCGTGTTAGTGAATGATTTCTGTAACCTCTTCGTGGCAGTCACACTGACAGCCAATGTGCTGAAAGGGGATATGAGCTGGACAGCCTTGTAGTATGTCGAAAGTCAATCAACGTTTCGGAGGAATACTTCGGCTCCATATTGTCACCTGCTTTCACACCGGTTTCTTGCTTGGCTTATCCGACTTGTCCTTCTACGTTAAAGATGGAGGCGACATGTTTCTCCGAAATGTCGGTTGACTGTCAACAGACTGCATGGCTTTATATTGTTGCATGCAAACGCGTTACTAAGTAATGACCAGGGCCCGGGTTTTGATGACCTGAAAATATTAAAAAAAATGACCTATAAAATGACGGAAAGAATCCAGAAAAATGACCTAAAGGAGGAAAGAAAGAACACTTCGCTTCCATATTATTCACGTTTCAGAAAACGTGTAAGAAAAATTCCCTAAAATGGCCAAAAATGGCAAGAAATACCCTTAAAAGTCCAAAAATTACCCCAAAAATGAAAAAATGACCTTAAACCTAAATATATCAAAAAATGACAAAAATTACCTATAAAATCTACATTTCTGTAACCAGCAGCTCATATCCGAGATTTATATTTTTAAGAGCATCGCATAGGATACAAGGAAAAAAAGATGACATATCATCAAAATCCGGGCCCTGGTAATGACTCTGTAAACAACGGCCGTTGCTAGGTAAAAATCGTAAACAATAAGACAGAAATGATACGCGGTCCGAGCGATAGCTACATGACGCAACAATGGAAGAACGGTTGGGAGAAGTGTTTTATATGCGGTCCGTGTCGAGGCTGTATAACGAGGAGTAGCTGCGATTACAGTGAAGTTTTGGGACGGCAGTCAGAAGGGTAGGAGGTTGGTATGTGATGGTCGCCAGCCTGCGAGTGAGTTGTGAGACAGTCGCCTGTCAGTAAGGACGTAAACACGAAAGCCGAGGAAGCTACGACGCTGAAGCCGTTACCAGGCGACAACCGCTGAAGACACAGCAGACTGTGAAGACAGCGCGAGCTGTAGTGAACTGTAGAGTGTGTGAATTAGCGACAGTACTGTAGTTACTTGTAGTTTCGATCTGTAAGTGTTCAGAAAACCCAGTTACAAATCCATGTTTTTAATTCTCACATCAGTGGTTGGTCAGAGTCTGGGTTGTGTACCCTTCTAATCTCGTAGGTGGATACGAATTCATGGAGGTCATTATATAACATAAAAATAACCTAAAATACGATTTAGAAATTTGAAAATTAAATAATTACCAATCGTTATGATATTTTAATAGAAGACATTCTGGTCAGTTCAACTGTTTGAAATTAAGCAAACAACGCCAGAACAGAACGCGACCAATTTTATTTAATTGCATGAAAACTTTTACATATTTCGTGAGAGCATAATATGGTTTATTTACGCCATGCTAGATCTGTTGAGTCGAGGAGGTCTGTGGGCGCGGCGATTGCGCAACAATAAGGAAAGCGGTGTTTTCTCCGTGCCGTGCCGCACCGCACGGCGTTCACTGCTATGCAACGTTGCGGTAAACACTCCTTCACAACAAAATAAGCTGCTTTCTGTGCGTGGTCGGCGCGGAGGCTATATAACGAGATTCCACGAATAACCAAGGAGTGTTTCACGGTATTTCAGACTGTTTAAGTGTTTCAGTGTTTAAGTGACAGTGAAAGAGTTCTCGATGTAAGATAGCCACGGAGAGTTCGTCATGTGAAGACTTGGCGTGTAATTAGAAGACTTTGATTATGTATAATACCTGGAATGATTTGAAGCGTTAGTTTCTGCGTTGAGATCCATTACGAAGAGAGGACTAGTGCATGTCACAGTGAATTATTAAGTGTGCGTAAATCGGCGATAGCGCTGTAATTGAGTGTAATTAAGAGAGACTGTATAACCGAAGTGCCAATAAACCCAATCATCCGAACTAGAACCCGTCATTTAGTCGCGCGTACCATCCTGCAAGAGACAATATGTTGAGTACCTTCTGATGATGGTCTCGTAACACCGAAACATATTATGGTGTTTATGTAATTGAATCAAATTGGCTACACTCTATGGTGGTGTTGTTTCATGATGTTTCTACTGTATTTGTTTTCCCTACCTACTGCGCACCCAACCCCATACACAATGGGTGCCGGGGCTTCTTCTATGGGAGTAAAGCGGCAGGGGCGTGAAGCTAATCATTCATCTAAATCTAATGCTAACGTTAATGATGGAGCTACACCTCCAGTCCCTCATACGTCTTCATGCCGTTGTGCTTAATTAATTAGGCTCAGGGATAACTTTACCTCAATTATCTGATTTCAAGTTTGTAGTTTAATGGCGTCATTCAGAGTTAAAATTAATTCTCCCTGTTTGATATCAACTCATTTTAGACTTTTTTTTTTTAATTTAAAAGACATGTTTGCCTTCCCTTGGTGGGCCGCAACTGCCCCTTTGGAAAACAATTTCACGCCGTTATAACTTACCGTTAAGACTTGGTTTCGCTTCTTGTTCTAACATCGCAGTTAAATAAGCACTCCATCTCTTGTCTCTCTATATCAGTCTTCGTCGTTTCTGATTACTTTAACCTCCAAAATCCAATAACAAACACAGCGTAGCCTAAATAACTGGACCACGATACCAAAGAGCTCTGATCTTCAGACAACGAAGCCATGCTCTGGAACGTATTCAT